CCCCCCCTCCAATTAGATTATTCTGTAATTATTGTAATCAGGTGGCCTATTATGCCATCGTTATTAATAATTTATTTTGGTAATGGCATAATAATAATCTGTCTCTAGAACAAAACCATGTTAATAGAACTACCTTACCATCATAGTAAAATTTGACGTCACTGGGCAATGGCTCATAGTCAGGGGCAAAAACTGGCCCCTTGTGCTCTAGAAAATTCCACTTCTGTCCGTCGTCACGACGCTCCTCCTCCCACCTAGGCAAATGAGAAGGATAATTGAAATTTCAGTGTAGAGTGAATTAACCCCACAACTAATACATGTCCTTAAATCACCTTAGCCGTTTATAGGGAGTTAAACAATATAAAACAAAACCAAACCGCAACTAATAATTTAATTTGAATGTTTTTTGTTTTTTTCTACGTTACATCACCTTAGACTGATCCAGCAATGAACAAGCTAATTACACTGCTGGCTGCCAGCTGGAACTGCTTTTAACACAAGAATGCCCTTTGATCTTTTTTTGAGTACAATTTTCCATCAACAGTATTCTTGACTTGTACCATAGCATAATCACTAACCTGTAAGTAGTGGTGGGCAATCGGTTTAAAATCATAATCGATAATCGGTATATATTCGGAAGTAGTAAACTGATCGATTGCATATAATCAAATTTATGATTTTATGGCACTGAATACCAAAATAAAGTCACATAACTTTTTCACATCAATAGACTGAGTTGTAAACTATACATTAGGTTTCCTTCTTTCATAACATTTGACTGGATATAAAGCATCTTTTATGCATTTTTATCAATCATATAGCAAAAATCACAAGAATCAAAGAATATATGACTTTCAAAGAATACTTTACGCAGAAGATATTTAAACACTTTGATTTAATGATGAACCAAATTATGGAATTTGTAATCGATAATAGAAATTAGAAAGAGCAAACTGATCGATTTTCAATTATAATCGATCATCAGCCCATCACTACCTATAGGTCCACTTACCATCTCCAGACTTCTTGGGTTTCCTCACTACCCTATAGTATAGGTCCACTTACCATCTCTAGACTTCTTGGGTTTCCTCACTAGCCTATAGCATAGGTCCACTTACCATCTCCAGACTTCTTCGGTTTCCTCACTAGCCTATAGTATAGGTCCACTTACCATCTCCAGACTTCTTGAGTCTCCTCACTAGTATAGGTCCACTTACCATCTCCAGGCTTCTTGGGTTTCCTCACTAGCCTATAGTATAGGTCCACTAACCATCTCCAGACTTCTTCGGTTTCCTCACTAGCCTATAGTATAGGTCCACTTACCATCTCCAGACTTCTTGGGTTTCCTCACTAGCCTATAGTATAGGTCCACTTACCATCTCCAGACTTCTTGGGTTTCCTCAATAGCCTATAGTATAGGTCTACTTACCATCTCCAGACTTCTTGGGTTTCCTGACTAGCCTATATAGTATAGGTCCACTTACCATCTCCAGACTTCTTGGGTTTCCTCTGGCTTCTTTTTCCCTCTCTGTGTAGTCTTCTGTGGGGACTGCTTTGGCTGATGTTTCACCTTCTTTTTCTTTTTCTGTTTAATAATATGTTCATGCATGGTTTAAAGATGAATCTAGCATATTTACAAGGGAGTTGCTGGAATCCCGATACATTTTTAGTTGGGGTGTATCAATTTGTTTTTTGAGTATTACCTTGTAGGCAGATTTTGCAAATTTCTTCCATTCCGAGCTCTAGTTTTAAAGTAAATATTGAAAATTACCAGCACTGGATGTTGGACGTTTGTGGAAGTATACACCTCTGTAGTGTTATTGAAAGAAAACTGGATTAATTTTTTAGGATTATATTCAAACTCTCCTCAAGTACCCCACTTAGCATGAAAAGGACCTCCTGTAATAAACAAGTGATAAAACACTGTATTATACGACCCTCTGTAATAGCACTATTTGTGTAATCTTGAGCAAAAAATCAAAGAAATGCTGTACTGTCTGTCCTTCAGTACTACAGTGTTGCTGATGTTGCTTCATGCCTATCTCCCCTCTAAATTCTGGACTTTTGACCAAAACATCTATAAATGAAGTTTAACTGATATAAATTACTCCACACAGGCAAGTGGTTACTGTCCCAAAACTAATGCAAAATACTCACCTCGGGGGAAGGATGTCAAAAAACAAAATAAAATGTTTTGATTGTTTAAAGAAGTATTTCCAAGTTTTTAGTCAGTGTTTTTACTTAAATTTTACAACAGCCTGTTCCTGTATGAATTAGTAAATATAGTATTATTTTTATTTAAATTGGGAATATATTAATCATTTTTTGTCAATTTTGGAAGATAAGGCACTTTTATAGCTAGGAGAAACAACTTGTATTCGTCTGTAAAACTCACAAATCACTGTTGATAGCATAGCACCAGATCATATTGATCACACATTTCTACCTACCAGTGGTTTTTCATCTTCAAATTCATCCGGATCTGATTTCCTCTTATTAGCAATCTGCTTTTCTACTTTAATCGGTTTCTCTACCTCCTTTTCTTTCTTCACCTTCTTCACCCTTCAATGATAAACGATCAATTGTCCTCAACAAGAACTAGACTTGCTTAATTCAACATTACGAGGGACTGGATCATTTGATCTAATTTTATGGAGTCCCACCCTGTATTCCTCCCCTTGCCTCCTCATCACGGCTGACTTTAGGCTCCATAAAAGGGGTTTGAGGAAGGGAGATCACTCTGTGGCTCTGTTGTCGAGATATGGGTTACGTCACGGTAGGGAGGTAGGGATTTTGAATTTTTTGTTTTTGGACTACAAAGATGGGTGTAGGTATTGTATATGATCATAGTAGCAGGGATTAATGCAGGAATAGAGAGCCAGTATCTTTTTTTGAAAAAAGGAAAAATATGCGCTGTAGACGAACACATATACATGGAAAGTGAACTAAATCACTGACGTCAAACTTATGGAAAATAATAAAAATAAAATAGAACCAAGACAGATATTCATGTAGTAGTATTTTAGTTACAAGTGGGGAGTTATTAACTGAAATATGGGAAAATAAAGCTGAAATATGGGGAAGATAATGCCAAAATGTGGAGATGAGAACTGACCCATGTATGCGATCATAAAAAGACCTGTATATATCCCCAAGTAACCAGTGTTTCAGTAAAATCATGTCAAAGACATTAAAAAGTACTGCAATCTCACTTTTGAGGCTAGAAAATCTTGCCAGTTATTATAAAAGGTGTTTATATGCCAGCATTTGTACAGCCAAGATTTACTGCATCTAGACAAAATCCATTTTATTTCAACGGACGGAGACAAATCCTAATAAGTATAACATACCTAGATGACAGAGGTTCGTCTTCATCATCAGATTCTTCATGTGCCCTCTTTGGTGCAGATTTGGGTGTTTTCTCAATCCTTTTAGACTACAAATCACATAAGAAACACATGATATAAATAATGAAAACAATTCAAAATGGAACAGACACAAGTTTGGTCGTTACACTTTGATTAACTATTCTTCCCAGCAATTACTCTGAAGCTTCCTGCTTTAATCAAAAGGTCCAGAGAAAAAGGAAATTGTTTTAACATATTTCATTTAAATATTTGCTATATAGTAAAACGGCAAGAAACTTCAAAGTCTGATAAAAAACCTAACTAATTTGAATTCTTCTTCCTTGGTGATAGAACAGAGGGTGCAGGGACTCTTTTAACCCTAATAGTTTAAATTTGGTAACCACAGGTCCATTTTTAACAACTCACCAATGGGACATCATCATCGCTCACTGGCTCATCCTTTACAGGCTTAGCTGGGGATGTCTTTGTCGGAGATTTACTAGGGGAACCTGGTTCTTTCTTAGTGGGCGACTCAGGTTCTGCTTTAACTTGTTTAGGAGGGGAGGACTCGCCCTCAACAATTGGCTTCTCCGCGTTCTTGCTGCTCGAGTGGTCCTTGTGCTTGCTGCTCGTGGAGCTGTGCTTGTCCTTGGAATGACTACTGGAGCTATGCTTGCTGCTTGAGTGATGGCCATCCTTATGTTTGTTACTACTAGAGCTTGAACCATCTTTATGCTTGTGGCTACTTGAACTTGAGTGATGGCCATCCTTATGTTTGCTACTACTGGAGCTAGAGCCGTCTTTATGTTTGCTGCTTGATGAGCTAGAATGATGGCCATCCTTGTGCTTACTAGATGAGGAGCTCCCATCCCTGTGCTTACTAGAGGAGCTAGAATGGTGCTTGCTGGAACTTGAGGAATGATGAGAACTCCCATGTTTGCTGCTCGAGCTAGAATGGTGCTTTGAGCTGGACGAGCTTCCATGTTTGGAAGAGGAATGGTGTGATGAGTGTTTTGAACTAGAACTATGATGCTTAGAATCTTTAGATGAGCTCTCCTTCGATGGAGCATGACCATTCTGGTTTTTCTGGTCAATGTGGTTGCTCATGTCGCCATTCTCCGTCAGCTTGGCTTTCATCTCAGCAACTGAAACAGAACATACATGTTTTTCCACAAATATAAAATCACAACACTATGAACTTATAATATGTGAAGAAATCTGAAGATGACTTTTTTGTTAGTGGTTTCATGCATGCAGACATTTATGAAAGTTGATCTAGTGAGGGGTTCCAATAGCAAATGTTTGAACTCCTTCCGAGCCATCACTACAGGTGTGCACATGAAGATGAAACAGTTTATTCACAGAGGGATGCATGTTTTCTAGGAATTACAAATATGAATTCTCGGGGCAATTCTTGCTAATATATATATATTGTTGTAAATATTGTACATTTTATGTCGACCACATGTGAGACGAGTCATTGACTCAATGTGTTATCGAATTTAAATAAAGTCTATTATTATTATTATTATATTATTATTATATACATCAGTTAAAATGTTGCAGGTATAAAAAATAAGAAATAAAGTTATGATCAGTATTACAAGTGTACTGTATATTTTTACCTGTAGTATATAGAATTATATACAAATAAGTGGTAATGTACGAGGACTAAAGACAGTTAAGTGTTTTTTCCGGATTTGCTCAGAGAGGAGGTACTGATAGTGTTAACAGCATACAGACAGGTCTTTCAAAAACAGTAGAGGGGATCCCCATCCACCTATATCTGGAGAACTCAATCTATACTGTTTTCCTATTGAGACCCTATTGCAAAATGTGGATTTCTCCCGAAGAACACTAATTTGAATGTGGATTTCCCTATAAAGAAATTGGCAGAAATACAGAAAGAATGGCTTCACTTTTTCTGAAAGTATTTACTAAATAGGATGATTCAGATCATTGAATTATTTTTTCAATTCTTATAAATTATTCCATCAATATATATATATCTTATTATGAAAGACTCTTCAAATAGATATAGATCCAAGCGAAAAAAAAATTTGAAAACATTTAATTTCTATCATGCCAAAATCTGCAACCATTTTTTTTTGAGTTATCTCCTTTTAATATCTTTTATTGAACTTAATTTGGGGGGGATGGGGTTAAATTCAGGTCTTTCATTACAGATACATTTTTTTCACCTTAGTAAGGTATCGTGAACCTTCCCTTCAAAATTTTGACACCAAATCACCCTTCCTACCTCAACCCCCACTCCCCTTTAAACCTGGAGAAAACCACTGATTTTTTTTTGACACTCCATCATCTTTAATTAATTGTCGTAAAACAGGCAAAGCGTCAATCAGATTACCCACATGTAGGCTATTTGTTCTGTGTTTTAACAACCTTACAACAGCCTAGGCCAATTTTTTTTTGTGTGTTTCAGGTATCCCGACCTACCCTAGAACATTTTATCACCTACTTGTATCCAAAATGATTCGTTATACAGGGAAAGCTCACAGTCACTTGTTATGTATTTTTTTCCTGTTCTGTTCAGGAAGCCTGACCCAATCTTTAAAGTATGCATTTTAAAATTTGATACAAAGCTTAGTATATATATATACTAATATTTGACCTGAAACACACATAACTTTTTGTTTGGGCTAATGTCAAAGATGGTGTCCACAGATGATAGGGCCCACTCAGGTCAAAAAACAACTTTAAAGTTCAACCTTGAACATCATAACATAACAATCCACTCATTTACATTTTTAAGACAAAACACTATGCAGAAGTGTCTAACTCTATATAGGGCGACAAATCACAGAGCATGTATAGGGAGACAAATCACAGAGCACGTAGGGGGGGGGGGGGGGGAGTAAAGCAGAATGATACAGAGTGTTGTAATGCCTACTAATGGTGCAGCAGGTTGACTGGTATAATTTAAAACATTAAAACACAGGAAACAATTGTTTGGTAGAAATTGGGCAAACATTTTCTAACCGAACAACATTCATTGAAATTACAAAGGATAGATTTTAATTTATATTATTCATCTCATTTTGGTTTCTATTAAAATGATCAAGTGCTCAAGTTATTTAAATGCCGTCAAAGTAAACATTATTTAACTATCCTTTAAATATTTCTTCCTTTTATTAAGTTAACGGACATTGACATTGTGACACTCGTCAATCCATTCGAAGGGCCAACTGTATAGTAGCCTAGATGAACGCGCACTCAAGCGGAACGGGTTACCTCATCAACACTAGGCTAGTTTGTTTATAAATCACCACAAACGATATTTATTAAAAAAAATGATATATACATTGAAATCAAATCAGTGATCGAAATACCTGCCCATTCATCTTCAACCGACCTATATTTACATTTATGATATAATTAATACACGAACAGCTGAACGACATGCCGCTAGTCTTTACAACCATGTTGGACTTAGTCTCTCGGCGTAGAAAAATGGCTAACTCGCCGCCTCGACCACTTTTACTCACCTTGTATGCTGCTGTCTGGACTATCTACGTGATTCTGGAAGATAAATTAAACATTTCTGGTGACCAATCTATGAATTTTCGAGACAATTCTAATTAATCGTCCCCATAGTAGATGATATAACGAACTCAAAATAGAGCAAATTTTAACAGATCCTCGTCGGACTTAGAAAATTTTTCAGCCATCTTGACTTTGTCGTTTTCAGGGTCCTTTGTTACCCGATATTTTCTAGTAACAAACGGCTAATTTAACGCTTATCAACACAAAATCACGAACACAAAGTAAACAGAATGAAAAGTTACATACCTCCATGGCGGTAGAAGTAAAATCATCTCCTGCGGAATCCATTTGTACAAAATTTTGTACGGGTTTCACTGGGCCACGTTATGGCGGAGATTTTGCTGAAACGGCTAAGTCCGCACTGACTGTCACTGCGCATGCGTTCATGACCTCACATCGCCCACCTTGCATCTATTGGCTGATTGAAAGACACGATATAAACATCCTGTATACCAAGCACGTGTTTCAGACCTCTAAATAAAATAAATGAAATAATCAATTTGAAATGGATCCTTCACGATTTGAAGATTGACCTTGTCATTAACAAAAATGCTTCATTCTATTCTAAAGATCTAAGAAAAATGGGATAAATCAGTATATTATCTTGGACATGCATGTCCAGAGTGACACAACTATCACCTGAATTAACCTCCCGTTTTAAATGTGGATGAAAATGTGTCCAAACTTGCTATTTGAACTAGTTTGGAACTTGGAGGAATTAATTAATAACGAAAATTAAGTTTTATGTGTACGTTTGTTTTATTTAAAAGGATTCCGAAAGTTTTAGTAAATTCAGGTGCCCTCAGTATTTTATGAACTATAATTAACATTAGACATAATATTACACTTACCTTTGTATATTATTGCTTTGATCCCTGAAAACTTTAACTATAAGTGTTACGTACACATATATATTATACCAGAGACGTATAATACATTATTATTATACGTCTCTGATTATACAAGCGTCTTCGTTGTTGTCTGTGTAAAACCACGGACTTAGATAACTAATCTAATTCCGTGGTAAAACGAACTGGTCAAAAGGTGTGCTATTATACTTTCAACTGCAACTGATCGTCACAATACAGTTTGAGTGCATTTTTAGATATTCTAATTCCGTGTTTTAAACAAGTATATGATAAATATTGGACTATCACGTGATTATTCCATCGAACAATATACCGAATTCTGTGAAGCACAATAAATGTCACATAGCACAGAGACGTCCCCGCTTATACAGCTCTATTAGAGTAATTGTTGTCATAAATGCCAAACTCACGAAGTTGAAATCTGAGCATTCACCTCATGGACATTCAGACCGTGACACTGAACTTAAACAGACATTCAGGTAGCTTCGATGAGGCTACTAATAAGGTAATTTGATTTAGGATTGTCACGTGACAATTGATTACTAACATGTGTTCAGCAGGGTTTGACGTCTCTAATTATGTCAAGTAGCCAGCAGGCTGCCATCAACAATGATCAGTGACCCTGGTCAAAAGATGGTCTTGCAAGGGCCAAAGGCATCAAACTACTGTTGAAATACCATTGGTTTCAGGGCATGGAGTTTTGTTTAGGAAACAGGTCTAGGAAAATTTCAAATTTCTTGGCCAATCTTCTGGATTCTGGTGAATTATCTTCATGTAATGAATATACCAGTATTTTCTCATTAAAAACTGTTTAGGTTTATACCTCCAAACGTTAGTTTTCCTTGGTCTTTGGATCCTCACATATCGGATCAGCTTTTGTATTGAATTATTAAGATGATACGTCGACACCAAAACAAACTGGGTCCATATAAAGACGGTTTCCATAGTAATTGCGCCACTCGATCAAGGACAACTTTAACGTGTCATCTAACTAAAATGTCATAAACTGACAAGACAGGTATAGCACGACAATCAAATATGGTCAAGTTTTCTGACAACGGGCTCACCAGCGCGCAGTGCCTGGATCAACGAAGAGACTGTCGAAAAGAGCGCAGGTATATATATATATATACAGTGTACCCTCGATGTAACGTCCCTCGTTTTATTTGCCACCTCGTTTACCGCCAACATATTTCAATGTCCCATTTTCTTATGATTTCCGTATACATTTCTATCAATTCATCGCCAAACCCCTTTATAGCGCCAACCTCACTCTTGGACAAATGGTGGCAGTTTAACGAGGTTTTACTGTATATGTTACTTTTAAAGGCATTGTCCGTCGTCAACTGACTCGATACGTACGTACATTGTAGTTATTTTTTATTGCTGTAGGCTGTGGCATTTATAGAAATTCAATTGATGTCAAAAGTAACTCTTTATTCAAATACACTAGGATCGAAAATAATAAATTGTTAGAATCAGTAGTTTTATACTATTTTGATCATATGCTGACACTTTTCTTTCTATTATATCATTAAAGATTTGCTAAGGTAACAAAACATGATATATTTTGAAATCACAAGTGATCCGTTATATTTTGATGTCGTCGCCGAATGAATTTTTCAAAAAAAAGGCCATGTACAATGTTTTGAGTTGTGTAGGCCTATTGAATACACATAAAATATGTCACCCTGGTAAAATAATATTAGCCGCTTCCTAAACCGACTCTGCTAGGGACCATTTCTCTTCAACTCATTCAGTAAAGCGTTTGACTAGTAAACCATATACAGAGGTCCCGGGTTCAATTTATAGCGGAGGCATGTATTAAGGCAGAAAAAAACATATTGACTGCAACACATACAACCATAAAAGCCCCCATATACATTGACAAAAACAATCGCTCCATATGTGGACAAAATCACCTTATATGGAAATATCATATGACTTGACAAAAACACCCATATAAAGACAAAACTGTCCTCAAATTCAAAGGAAAAATAAATCTATAGAGACAACGAAGTGGAGGGATAAGGCCTGACCATAATGTGTCCATTCTAGGGAAAGATTCACCGAAGAGATAAGGTACCCAAAGGCATTCCAAACAGGCAGAAACGATATGCCTTTATCAGACTATTCAGCGTTTTCTTATACCCAATACTGGAATATGCTTTTCCTAACTGTCCATATACGTAGTCCAACGATCGATTATCATATGATACTCGGATTATTAATAAAGGACTTCCGGTGAGGCATTGCTGATGCGCTAACTGTGTTTCCGCGAGATTGGTCCTGTAATAATCACATTATACAGGAGTATATACACTGATGCTGTTATCCAAACAACCTCTGTCAGTACTAATGGGATGTTATGTTGTATGGATGATAGGGAGTGGTATATAAAGCTATATTTAGAGAACCATGTATAGAACACTTTTTATTTAAGGGTACCTCAGTTATAATCACGAAGAAGAGTTCCACTCGAAACTATTTTTCTACTTGGAGTATTCTCCCTTATATAAAGAAGACGAAGCAGTCTTAAAGAGTTTGTCAGGCTTAGAGTGACGTTCCTGGTCGGAGTATTTATCTCTCAGCATTTTCTCTTTTTCCTGTATGCATTTATAATTCCTGTTCCGCAATATTGGTGAATTGTAGGATCGACAGTAAAAAGGTTCTGAGTTTGGTCCCTGCAGTTTTTAGGTTTTATTTCTATGTTCAAATATTATGTATTTAAATTTCGAATTTTTTTAATCCCGTATGAAGTATAAAGTTCGGTAGGAAATGACCCGATAGTTTCATTGTTAATAGACTGTGACATTAAACTTCGTGCCACTATGTACGTCTAAAGTTAAAAGTGGATCTGCGTATACTTGAAATATAATACAGATCACTCTTGACGTGTTCGTTTTAAAATTTGATATAATCAGGCGCAGTCTTCAAAAATGCAAGGCAGGACATGCGTACTTTCTAGTACAATATGCTACTTATTGATTGACAACTGTTTACGTGCAGTCTTCATTAGCATTGACCGAGCGTCTTGAACACGGTCTTGTGTCATTAATATGTTACTTTTAAACACCATCCAACTTGGTAACTAGCACAGGTGTTTTCTGCTTACGGATATCTTCGTAATAAAGACGATTCATGTTTAATATATTCACGTTGTTACTACGTAAATGTTAGAAAAACCCCACTAATATCACCTTGACAAAATAGCTGATAGACGGATGATATGATAGGCGGATGGTAGACGGATGATATGATAGACAGACAATACAATGTTGGACCAAAGTGTACTGTGATTTTCACATAAAAATATCCACGTCATCAAAAACCAAAGACAACACTGGAACTCAAAGTAGGTATAAAGAAACAGTGGGGACTGTCAAGAGCCACCAAAAGAAAATGGAATGCAACATGTGCACCTTTCCAAATGAGGAGACGTCCACACAAGAAAGCATGTTTTACCTTCAACCCAACAGAGAAAGCACCGAGACATAAGGAAGGACATCATACATCTGTCAGGTATCAGATCAAGGCAATATGTATTTCCCTTCACATCAATAGAGGAGAAACCAGAACAAAAGGGAAGGCAACATGAATATTCTTTTACTCAACAGAGTAGATACCAAAACAAAAGAAATTGCTATATGAATCCCCAATTTATATCAAAGGGAGAAGCCAAAACAAATTGAATTGCGATCCCCTTCATTCTAAACAAAGAACGTTCCCATAGGTTAGGTGCCTTACATACGGTTTTGAGTCTTATCAGGGATTTCTTTAGCTGCAGTGAACAATGGAATATTTTGTAGCAGCTTTGGCGTGGAACTGCCACATATTTTTACCTATAATGTTCAGAATGTTTTCAGCAACCCTTATTTACCATAAATATTCCATCAGTCATAACCATATTCATCATGGAATTACCGGCCAATGACACTCCATATAGGTAAATATGACCGGATAGTTTAAAAACATTTTTATGCCATTACCTGTATAGTTGTTAAACTTCTGACAGACATTTCACAGGCGAAGGCCTATCAAGCACAACTGCATTGATTTAATCAGTTTTATTTATTTACAAAAGTGTGCGTGGACCAAAGGTATACGTTAGTTGAAACTTTACATATAGGTGACCCCCGTGCTGGTGAATTTCAATAGTACTAGACTTCCATGTAAATAAGTAAACAAAGAAATAAACGGTTTAAATTCGTATTTAATGCCATTTAAACACTACATTGTACAATATGTATTAGGTAAGTGATGGACCAGCCACAGGCCATTAATATCGGAGTCACAGAAGTCCTTACCTTTTTCATTTTAGTTTACGTGACTCATAATGGCAAGTGCCTGTGGACCAGTAAATTTCACCATGACAACTAAGCATGCACTTTAGCACCAACAAGCCAATACATCTGATATTATCACTCAATCAATTCCTAGTATGCAGTCATGAGTAGAAGACCTCACCAGAGCTGATTGTAGGCCATGTAGCTCTGTCAGTGATCTCAAGACCTCACCTTAGCTGACTGTAGGCCGTTTAGTCCTGTCAGTGAGCTCAATATCTCATCTGAGATGACTGTAGGCCATGTAGCTGTCAGTAAGCTCAAGACCTCATCTGTGCTGACTGTTGGCCATGTAGTCCTGTCAGTGAGCTCAAGACCTCATCTGAGATGACTGTAGGCCATGTAGTTCTGTCAGTGAGCTCAAGACCTCATCTGAGATGACTGTAGGCCATGTAGTTCCGTCAGTGAGCTCAAGACCTCATCTGAGCTGACTGTAGGCCATGCAGTTCTGTCAGTGAGCTCAAAACCTCACCTTAGCTGACTGTTGGCCATGTAGTCCTGTCAGTGAGCTCAAGACCTCACCTGAGCTCTCGTAGTGCGTGATGAGTCTAAGGCCTCAGCTCACAACTACCTGTGCAAGTCTATAGTCCTCTGAACTAAAACTCACATAAGCCAACCATGAGCTTTGTAAAGAGATTTCTTCTGATCATTCAGAGATTCGTTGGGTAATAGGGCAATAAAGGATATTTCATTAACTGTAATAAAATTGTAATTACAGGGGCTAAGGTGACAGATGTCTACAAAGTGTTATTAAAATTAAAGGTACTGAAGACAACACCGAAAAAGGAAATTCAGTTTCAAATTTGTCATTCTACAAACTCTTTTAATTCAACCATTTGATAGAAAGCATTTTTTTTTTCAGAAGCATTTGTTTCATTGACCATCGACTTATTTAAAAGAAATTAGCTATGAGCATATGTACTGCAGGCAAACTCTGGATGGTAGAACGCTTTAGTCCAAAGTCCATGCAAACTGCCTTGATTTGAAATGCATCGTGCTGAAGCATTAACTGGTGTACATTTTTCTATAGAAGATTGCTCTGTATTCAGTCTTACTTTGATGCAGAATTTAGCACACAAACATCCTCTGTTAGGTCTACCTGATCCCATATCTCAAATGCCTGATTTTTCAAAAACAAAATCACAAGGTCAATTTCTGCTACATATCAGTGAGATTCAGCTGTGCACATAGCTACCACAATAGGTTGTGTAAAAATTATCCATTCTAAGCCCCTCTGAATCAAAATACATTTTTTTTTATCATTATTTGGCAAGATTAACCCTATAAATGAAAATTGACCAGATTCTGAACAAATCGAGTTTCATTAATGATCTGGTGTAATTTTCGGTTTAGGGGTGAAATTTCACGAAAACATTGTTAGAAATTCAAATTCCTGCATTCAGATAATGGTGGATGAACACTTACTTGGTATTTTGTTTAAAGGAAAATGTACATTTTACATCATAGTACAACATGTATTATAGTTCAAGATACGAAATTAAATAATTACCCATTTTCTCCTCACAAAATGTAATTTCATTTACACTTTTATACATGTATCAGTGACAATCACTCTCACACATAAACCACTCCCATTCAGATTTCCAGAGCAATAGGCTCTATCCCACATTGTGTGGTTTCACTATTTTCAAGATCTGGAAAGAAAATTTCTACAAATACATCATTTCATTACACTAAACTGTTGCAGAAAAAAACCATACTAGTAAAAAAAAAATTGTGTTAAAAAACTTTTTATTCATCCGAGACTAGTAAAAAGTAATTGCAAAAATGTAAATGCTGAGAAAATGAGAGGAGAGCAATGGTAGTAAATGGTTGTGAATAGAAAAACATTTAAAATTTGATTCAAATTATAACTTCTGGGAGATAAACTGTAATCTTAACTACCTTGTTCATATAGAAGTCTATACAGATATGTGATGAACAAACCTTATACAGTATTACTTTCGGTTTCTCGAAACATCTAAAAAAAAAATCGATTTAACTTCGGTTTCTCGAAACATCTAAAAACATTCAATATAAATTTCTCCATAAGAAAACATTGCATATTATCAAGTAAGAAAACCAAAATTAATAACTTATGCTTACTGAAGCTTGAGTCCAGCATATTATTTCATTGTAACTACTGAAAAATTTCACAACATCCAACAAAACATTTACTAATCCTGGGTCAAACGAAATAGTACATCTCTAATATCAATTATACAATAAAGTCTTAATGAAGATCATATGTATGGCATTTATAAATGAACTCCAATAGAACTGTCACCAATGTGAATAAACATGAAATCTAGCAATACCTGTAATGTGATAGGTGGCTATCTGAGTGTGTTCTATAGGGGTGTACTTTAGGTGGCCAAGTGTATGTGTTACAGTACAGGTAACCTTATTTTACTTTCAAAACCTGATGTAGCTGGATGACAGAATTTCTTCTGTATAAACCAGAGGTACATTAATACCTTGCACACTGGAATAATGTCCGCCATACCAAACAAGCGTATCATTTCAGACACTTTCTTTTGATCAGTAAGCATTTTCATTGTGACAATATGGTTTTTCTCTCGCCTTCAAATGGGTATTGCCCGCGTCAACAGTTTGTTATCTGCAGGATGTATAGACTGAGGGTGCATCAAAGATCTGCTGCACCATATGCCAGGTCAACATCGATATGCTCTTGAACCTCCCTCGTTTCGCCCCCGTCGTGAGGCTGCCCTCATTACTAGGAAGTCTTTTGTTGTTTATCTGAACATTCGGCAGTGTCTGTGTGTTGGTCACTGTGTCTTTTTCTGGACCTTTCTTTGGAATTTGGTTCAGTCCATAATTTTCCTGTATTTATATCTTTCACTTTTTGGAAAGCAAATGCCAGATAGATCGCTGAAAGGAATATGATTGTATCTGTCACAATGGTGGACAATCTAGTTACTTGTCACAGACTCGGTTAGAGAAAATATTTCCTAGCTCAACAATCAGAAGATAAACATATGATCATAGAAAGCAAAAAGAATTTTCCAAAGAAAGGGAGCAGTCTACAGGTAATATCTTTAAATAAATATAGAAAATTATCATTTTTTAACATGTGGATTTAAAAGTCGCTTTTCATTCCTTACTTTTGTGTAACAAATATACAATTTATATCATATGTCATCTTTTAAATTACATGTTAGATACTGCCATTCTACTAAGTGAGACACTATACAATAAAGAAATTTGTCTGTCATTCTAAACTTCACTATTCAGACAAAACATTTAACTTAAATAAAGTACTTACTGGAGGCATCCCATTCAGCTTGTGACAATGTTCCCTACAATGAGAGCACCGTAAAGTCAGCAAACCATAAACCAGGGCTTTCACTTATTTTTATGTCAAAAGGCAAAACTGCAATCTAAGCAGATCAATTTTGATTGATATAAACACAAGTGTTGTAAGAGTGTTGATTTAAGCAGGGCTAAACCTTGTTAAAGTAAATTTTGCCTCCTGCTGCCTTGTGTGGAAACCAATGATTTTAGTTACATTTTAAATACTTTTCTTACTTTTCAAACACGGGAAAGTACACAAGGAACTCTGGGCAGTTGACCACGCCCTCCAAGTGGAAGTCAAATTAAGCTGTTTTTGGCCCCTAAAATATGGTTCAGCACATTGCCAACACTCCATATAAATACTTCAACCTTATAATACACAACAGCCTTTTGATGGTGGTGGTTCAACACTTCACAAAAATACTTGCCCAAAAACTTTAACCTCAAGCTTACATAAAAACTTTAACCAAGTGTAATTACCAGTTTTGCCCCCTAAAATACAAAAATATGGTTCAGCATATTGCTTACACTCCAAATAAATGCCTTAACCTTATAATAGACAACAGTGTATTGAACATTGTCTGGAAAAAACTTGCCCAAAAACTTTGAACTCAGTGAAGTGGGATGAGGAAGCCAGTGTAGGCGAATAGGCGAGCTTTAACATCCTGATACGATTTTATTAGTAGTGCTTTTTTTTTGGCTGAAGGTAGCACAGTCTAGGATATCTGGAAGTCTAGGATATCTGGAATTATAACAGGTATTATGTGCCAGTGTCTAAAAGCCAACTTACCACTCTGGCAGGGCGATGTCGTTTGAGGTCCTCTGGCCGTGCGTCCTCGTCCTTGAGTTTGTTGAGGCCGATCTCAGTGTCTTTGTAGTCCTCTGGACAGTTTCCTACTAGTGCTGTCCCCTCTGGAGGAGGATAACACTGTAACACAGGTCATTATTATTTTATTATCTCTGCTAGGGATCAAACCCTGGACCTCTGTCTTACAACTCTGATTCTTTACCCACTGAGCTGAAGAGAAATTTCCCCTAGCTGAGTGAGAAGGAATTGGCTAGTATTTTACGAGGGTGACAAACCTTCCCTCAAGAAAAAAAATCATCTTAAGTGTTTCCAGGGGTAAAGTGATGCTTGTGAGAGCAAGGCTGATAGGTATGAAGGTCACAGTGGTAATTATTTTCGAATGCCTTTGCTAGGTACTGAACCCAGGACCTCTGGCTAACTAGTCTGACCTAAACCACTTGAGCTTAAGAGAACCGAGCTGGTAGGAAGTGGCTAGTATTTTACCAGGGTGACAGTACTACAAATACATATACAGTATAACATAAAATGTTTGTTGTGTATAAACATTTGTGAATATCGTGGTTGCTATTGAACCACAACAACATATCATGATTATTTTGCCTACAGAGTTTTAAAGGAATCCGTCAAAAAATGTAGAAGGAGATCTCTGGACACAAAATCAAATACTGAAATGAACAAAGGGCAATAACTTTTGGAAAAACTGTCGAATCACAATTCTTTTAAGGGAGACACAACTTCTTATCATGATTATAATAATGTATACCAAGTTTCAAAGAGATTGGTCGAATATTGTAGGAGGGGATTGCCGGACAAACAGAAGTTTTATGAAGGACGGACGACGCCATACCATAATACTCCCGTCAAATTTGACGGGCGTATAAAAAGGCTTTAAACCACCAAGGAAAGTACCCACGAGCATTTCATGCTATAAAGTATAAGACATAACTCCTAGTGCTATCCAGTTGATGGGGAAAAATACCTGGTAACACTACAAAACATAGACTGGACATACATATTACTGCTATCTATATATCTTTTTTGCAGTATCTTAGATATACCGCTTTAGTTTTTTACTGTTTTTTTTACTGATTTCAGACCTACCTCTAATGCCGACATTCTCCCTAACAACGCCCTGTGTTCACCCATCTCAGACTTTTCTGCGAAATACTCATCAAAGGGTTTTCTGTACACCAGCTTCATACCAAACTCCTCCGCCATTCTACAACAGGGATGTATTAATATTTCTCTCATTTCAGTTTGTGTAAGATAGAGCTGTCAAGGGTAAGAATGGGGATGTAAGAAATGTCTATCTTACACCCCATTTCTGAGCAAACGATGTTTTCAAATATGGGGTATCCTCGCCGACAGATTCGTTTTCGTCAAAAAAGTTCAGGGAAAAAGATGATATTTTCAAAATTGTGCCCAGTCCAAACCCAAACACATTTTTCGTGGTTTCTGAGCTTATTCTGGTAGTTGGAATGAGAGAAAAGTACTCTTTCATGCCCAGGGATGTAGGATAGGGAAATTCTACCCTAAGGATTTTCAAGTTTGGCAAATCCTCGGCACAGCCTCTGGTTTTACCAAATTTGAAAACGCCTTGGGTGGAATTTTCCTATCTTACACCCCTGGACATGGAAGAGTCTTATAGTATCCAGAGGATATCCAACAGGTGATGACTTCGTATAATTAATACTCCTCTGATTGAGTAGCAATGAACTAATGCAGCAATATTAAATTTGACTTGTTTTTTATATCATCTCAGAGTAGAGAAAAGCAGCTTTCCAGATCATCACAGTCACTAATCATTAAGTTTTAGTTGTACATCATACTAGTAGAAATAGATTAAAATGTTCATGTCCCTTAGCCCACTCCTTATTTGGACTGACCCCTTCATAAGCAGGAACATCAGTTCTGACTCTTACTTTTCTAACACGGGGAAGTACACAAGGAATTCTGGGCAGTCGACCACGCCCTCCAAGTGGAAGTCATACTTGGCCCCAAACAGGGGAATGTTGTCTACGTCCTCGCCACAGAAAGTCACACTGTACACGTCATTGCCAGCACGATGGTCAGGAGAGTCACGGAACCGCCGGCTACAGTATAAAGTGGGCATTAGTAATATTTAAATAGGAACAAGAGTACAACAAGAGGCTGAACAATATATGACCATCACCTACTATGTAGATTCCATTAAGACTCATTGTAAAACAAAGGGGTGAACTTCTCTGCTGATGCATTCTTTTAACAAAATGTATCAAATTACTGAAACATTGCAAGAAAAATATACACTTGGACTTTATAACCCAGAAAGTTGATTTTCTTCAATGTAGATGAAATCCAAAAAAATACTTTATACATCAGCAAAGGGAATAAGACAAGGTGCTATAATTTGGCCTAATCTTTTGGGGGAAAAAACAACATTATAGGGGTTGCTCCCTTTTGCCAATGTTTGAAAACAATAGTAAAACAAAAACTTTTTCAATTTAAACAAAGGACCATAACTCTTAGGTTGAACTGCGAAGACAACAGTATACATCAATTAAACCCATTAATCTGAAATCCTGTCTAGTGCAAAAAGCTGTAAAACAGTTTGTACCTTTAGCTATTTCAAAATTGTTACAAAAATGTATCACAACAGTCTCTTTCTCACATCAGTCTCCAACACACAAACTGAAAGACTAAGTAGTTATAGAAATTAGATCACTGACAGGTCAGCAGGGGCCGTACCATGTGCCTGACTGTATATATTTTGATTTTGAAGTGCAGTATATTTGTTATAGGTGTCCAAAGCTCCGATTCCAAGCCCTTATTAAGTGACGCATTTTAGTATATCTGGTAGATGAATGTGTAATTATACAAATGTATAATGTGTACCCATTGTTATAGAAATTACAGCTGTTCCGGGGCCTGTTTTTATACAAGAAATCTCCTGTATGGTCATATTAAGTTACAAGAAAACTCCTGTATGGCCATAATAGGTTACAAGAAATCTCCTATATGGCCATATTAAGTTACAAGAAAAGTCCTGTATGGCCATATTAGGATACAAGAAATCTCCTGTATGCTCATATTAAGTTACAAGAAAAGTCCTGTATGGCCATATTAGGATACAAGAAATCTCCTGTATGGCCATATTACGTTACAAGAAATCTCCTGTATGGCGGTATTAGGTTACAAGAAATCTCCTGAATTGCCATATTAGGTTACAATAAATCTCCTGTATGGCCATATTAGGTTACAAGAAATCTCCTGTATGGCCATATTAGGTTAAAATAAATCTCCTGTATGGCCATATTAGGTTACAAGAAATCTCCTGTATGGTGTGACTTACACGATTTCGTATGAGTCAGGTGTAGTTCCAATGAAGTAGCCACCAAGCTTCAAACATTCGCAGGCGTTCTGCAGCATAAGTTTGGCCTGGGGATAACTTTCAAAACAGTAGTGGAAGGAAAACTGGCAACTTGCAATGTCGAAGCTCATGTTGCTGTCTTTGTACATATCCTTAAGTCGTTTCTGCAGAAAAAGTAAAGATTCAATGTCAAAAGAATTTCAATTTCAAAAGTCACAGCTTTATTACATGTTATCAAGAAGTATGCACTGGTATTCTTGTTACAAATTTTGCTAATCAAGATATTTGCACTACCCAATACCCTTTGTTATTGTATTTGGTCAATCAGGAAACAAAAATATACCTATCTACCCTATTTTTTTCTGAGGATGATAGGGGAAACACAAGTAATTTCTTTTTGACCTAATGAACTATTTTACCATGCTCACTTACAGCAGGAGTTCTGACTTTAACAGTACATACCACTTAATGCCAATACAATCTTTAGGGTAGGCACACAAATCTAGCATAGATAGGGGTAGCTGAAACAAATTTATTATTTCAGTTTGCCTTAATATATACTGATATAAAAATTCATTCAAGTACAGCTTTTGTTATTTTAGACAATTGAAGCATCAGTTCAACTAACCTGCTTTGTTCCATGGCTTATTGTTAAAGTTTAAGACTTACTTTGGTACAATCTGCAGCAATAAACTCGGCAGAGAAGATTCGGTTTGGGCCTCGGTCATTGCGAGCACGGTCAACCATTTCCTGATAACGACTATGGCACTGCTCCACAGATGTTTCTGCTATGTCTGAAAGGTATCACATGTTTATAGATGTTTGAAACAGTACACAGACAATACTGACAACTGAGTATTATATATCTCAAAGCAACCCTTAGCCACGGTAAACACCAGACTTTAAGGAAATCTTCTAAAAACAGTGATGGTTAAATACAAGCAGACCAGCTGGTATGTTATGGAGGCTATGTAGCTATTCAATAGTGACTTATAACACATTGATACATTTGGTTGGTATGTTTATGGAGGCTATGTAGCTATTTAATAGTGACTTATAACACATTAATCCATTTGGTTGGTATGTTATGGAGGCTAGGGAGCTATTTAATAGTGACTTATAACACCTTAATACATTTGGTTGGTATGTTATGGAGGCCAGGTAGCTATTTAATAGTGACTTATATCAAATTAATACATTTGGTTGGTATTTTTATGGAGGCTAGTTAGCTATTTAATAGTGACTTATATCAAATTAATACATTTGGTTGGTATTTTTGGAGGCTAGGTAGCTATTTAATAGTGACTTATATCAAATTAATACATTTGGTTGGTATTTTTATGGAGGCTAGTTAGCTATTTAATAGTGACTTATATCAAATTAATACATTTGGTTGGTATTTTTATGGAGGCTAGTTAGCTATTTAATAGTGACTTATATCAAATTAATACATTTGGTTGGTATTTTTGGAGGCTAGGTAGCTATTTAATAGTGACTTATAACACATTAATACATTTGGTTGCAGCTATTATAAGCTTCATTAATTGGATGAGCATTTAACTTCAATTTTTGAATTTACTTTTTTATAAAATGTCTTACAATGTTCAAATTAATGCATGTACAACACATATTGTCCTTGAATGTAAGTGATCATTTTATATCTTTATACATGTACCTATGCAAATGAAGTGATGAAGTTCAATTTGTTGTTATAAATAAAAGAATTGTGTTAACTTGTTCAGTCTGAACTACATTTTAATCATCCAGTCTTATAAAGTAAAGCATTTTTATCTATACATAACATTTATATCATACCTGCACACACAATTTTAGATATTTGTCCCTTCTTCCACTTGAGAAGATCTCCACCTTTACCACAGCAGATGTCGAGGACACTAAGATCAACACGTTCTTGGCTTTGGCGACATACAGTCTGGATTGTCTCCCCTGTCAAAAACACAACTAGAAATGTAAAATAAGCACCCTGCTAGTTAATGCCCTTGCACACCCTCGCTTATGCCTGATACTATGACAATATGGACACAGTTGTTCCAAAGGATATTTTTCGCATCATCAATTGTTTAATATGACCTTCGACCTTTGACCTTCTGCCTCAAGATCTTTAAAAGTAGACATTGGTATCTAATAAGCATCCTGTAAAATTACAATATAAAGTTGTATGTACCAATTAGTAGACACAAGTTGTGCATTATGATTTACTGTGACATTGACAATCAATCCAGAACCATCTCTAACTACAGGTAGTCATTGTGTTCAATTTTACGTCATAGAAGATTTTTTCTCATGCAAGGGTGTTTGTCCTGGGCATTGGGACATGGAAATCTTTTTTTTTCAAATTTAATAAAACAAAAGGCTTTTCCCTCCAAGGTTGAATTTTGAGGGTAGAAATTCTGCTAATTCTTATCATCATAAATAGCTCAGCAATTGTGCAAACCTCATTACCTAGTGGAATTTATCCCAATATTCTGAATTACTGAGTTGTTAATAATTTCATCTCTCAATTTTATCATGTCAGCAATTTCTTCACTGCAGTATCTTGACATATGACCTCATGCCACCGTGTCATTGAGTGACATCATATACATGAAATGGGGTGAAAAAATATTTTTGACACCCTTTCTTGCCGAGGAATTACCAGGTCGATCATTCACACAGAAATGAGAGGAGAGATATTCCACTTTGCCAAGATTTATTTTTAGCTTGATGGCTTCATGATGACCTTTTCATTTGTTAAACTGTTACAATAAGGACAATTTTGACTCACTTACCTATAAGAACACTTTTCATCCAGTTATTGAAATTTCTTAAATGGAATATACGGCTTTCCTTCCTCTTCTCCAGCCCAGATTCCTGCAGCTCATTGTAATGTTTGGCGACAGTTGAGGTATGATCCGCTTGTTCTTGTGTCTGAGTTTATGATTACAAAAGTTAACATTCAATCCAGTATTTAATTATGTGTGTATATAACATTGGAACCAAAAATGTAATGGTTAAGGACACTGGCCATGACTGATTTTGCGATTTTAAGTTTCAAATCTCCAATTTTACTTGAGAGAATTTTATTACAATAAATGATAATAATTTGTCAATAAGATTCACCAGTTTGGAAATATGTAATATCAAAGTTTTACTTTATACACTAACAATGTACGCATTAAATGTGTCGCAACATTTCAAGACTGACTAGTCCCTTTGAAAAGCTATGGTAGAAAATGTACATAGCTTGACAAAGGGGCCAGTCAGTCTTGAAACATTGCAACACATTTAATGTATTATTTGACTGTTTAATTGTTTGTGTATAAAGTGAAACTTTGATATAAATTTGAATGATTAAAAATGAACAGTGGGACACTACAGCAGTAATCCAAGTCTTTAATCATCAATTAGTTAACGAGTGATATCCTCAGATATACCCAGTGATGACCAACAGTACAACTATACTGCTGTAAACTTATTTATTGTGGGACCAGTATTCAGGAGCAACGTAATACACTTTAATTGGGAGCGTATTTAATACATCATCAGATCTTTATATTCACAGACTTCAACCTAATGCCAAAAGTTTCAAACTTTAAAATATCTCTGCTTTATCATGGACAACTCTTTGATGGTCATTTAATGGGGCAAAAAAATGTTAATATCTATTTTTTGTGAACAAATGTACTCACACTCTGCTCTGCCATCCTGAGTCAAATGTCATGTGAATCAAGATTTTCCAATCCCTTCCTTAATTCACTAAATATTCTGAAATATAAATGAAAAACAATCAGGTTCAAATTGGTTCTTGAATAATATTTATAAGGTTGTTGGTGCTGTTAGTTTCTTTCCAAATGTTTATCCATTTATTTTTAATCGTTTTGTTTATTAGCGAATACTCCTCTTCTTTAGTTAGATCTATTTCTCCTTCTATGTTTTCAAGTTTTAGTGCTTTTTTGGCCAGTTCGTCTGCTTTATCGTTGCCACGGTATATCAACATGGGCCCGAATATATTCGAATATTATGTTTATACCCTGTTTTTCTAAGATATCGACCGAATTGAGGTTTGAGTTTAATGTAGTGTTTCTAATACTTTTTCTTGTCTGAATAGATTGTATTGAAGAGAGACTGTCTGTTACGATAACAGTGCCACCTGGAGGTTTATTAAGATCTATAACTCTTAGAGCTAATCCTATAACTATAATTTCGCTAGTGTATACCAAACTATTATCGGTGATTCTCATGGATATATTATCTTCCTTAGAGTAAATACCTAATCCTACTCTGTTGTTATTAGGATTTTTAGACCCATCAGTATAGTATTTGGTCATATTTTTATATTGATCTTCTATTAAAGATAGGGCTATGGCTTCTGCAAAATCTGAAGATACGTTTTTAAGGAGGAAGAAGAACCAATTAATTCAGGCATCAGTATTTAATACAATACTTGCAGGGTTGGCACCCAAATCACTGAGGTCCACACATTCCTAAGAAACTGTATACATGTTGGCAAAAAATACCTTGTAAGTAAGGACCTTCGAAAATTTTATGTAAATGTCATCTCCACCGACAAAAAACAAAACAGAAAAATGTAAACTATGCCAATTTTAAGTAACCACTAGTTGAACAATTCATATCAAATTTAAAAATCCTTTGGGTGGAACTTCCTTACCTTGCAAATTTCACTACTTCAATGCCCATGACTAGAATTATATGTCAGGGATAGTGAAAATATTTAATGTTTACTATGAAAATGTAAACCAGACAGGAAGGATCTAGCTAGTACTTCAAATATAAAATAGTTAATTCCTGACATGAATCAATTCCATTTGAGGGGACTTACATTGTAATGGTTATTCCTGGATATATTTAAGGGGCATATATATGTTTGATGACCAATTCCTTTTCTACAGTATTGCTGGTGTTGTCAGTTTATATATTTCTAACATGGTGTTGCATTATGTTGAAATTCATGTCTGGTTTTAGCCCATATCAGACTTGTAATATTCTGGTGAAATTATGGGGATTTATCTCCCTTGGACTGTGGTTATCGATGTTTGTAAGATCTTGCTAATGGTATACCATTGTGAACTCGTTAGGTACACTCTCCTGAATCATGACATTATGCAGACGCCACATTAGTTACAAACTGTGCTAACCTGATTAATACATTATGGCTAAAGGCTATGATCTGGTCTAACAACCTTTTATATTGAAAGGGTGCACCCTCGCAGCTAAAAGCACCAATGATTATGGTGTTGCTTTGTCAATAGCATTGATCACTTTTAAGAGATCTATAAGGCTATATTGAATTGCAGTCTCGGCAAAATTTGATGGCCTTTAGGATATGTCGAATGAAATCTTGTTCAGTCCTGTACAAAATCTGGTTATACAAAGAGAAGTAGAACAACAAAACTGCTTTTTGGTCTGTAAAAGCTGAATCAATTTTGTTTGAAATAATATTATTTTCAGTTTAGTTTCTCTGTCAGATTGATTGTTTTTGGCAATAACTGTAACTAGCATCTGTCCACAACCCTATAGCAGGTATACAGTAGAGGGTTGTGGCCATGGGTGATATTTTTGTTAAATGGCTAACCCCTGTACAATGATATGTAAAACAATTATAAAAATAAAACTGTACTAAAATTGGTATAAGCATGATGAAGTGGGCTATGTGAGCTTCACATTTGTAAAAAAAAAGGAAGATTCTTTTGGTTCGAGAATAAAATTTTGGCCATAATCCGAAAGGGTGCCTACACATGAAAAGCTAGCTTTACAGGAGGTAACATTTTGACAACAGCACACGACACAAAATTGCAAAAAATCAAGTTTTACAACTTAACTGGGACCCAGATAATTCTGCAACCAGGTAGGTAATCTTAAATTTCAGAGAGAACTTAGGAAAAAAAACTAGTGGCGGGGGTCAAATTTAGGGTCAAAAATAGCAATTTTTGACATTTTTTGGTAATTTTTGATGTGGTAACCATGGTTTTCACACAAGTGACATACATAGAAAAAAGAGGTTTATACATTTCTCAGTACTTTATATGTATTGTAAATGAAATGCAGTTTACAAATATATATACATGTATACATGTGTTGTGTAGGGTAAATCCGCTGTGTTTACATTTCCTCGACATGTGCCTTGTTTATCAGAGTCGAGCCATTTCTACTGTACACTGCTACCTATGATGTTGTGATTCTCTGATTTAGCTCAGTCTCCCTTAATGGAGATAGGTACAACTTAGTTTGTTAGTTTCAAGTAAGATGAAGTCAAGATGGTTGGAAAGTTAAGCAGGGAATTGGATCCTACAGGGTGTCAGATAAGACAAGATTCATTGAAGTTTCCACATGGTGTTGGATAAGACTGATGTTACTAGCATCTTCTTTATATTGTAACAGGAAAGAGAATATAGTGTGCTTTCACTGGGGATCAAACCCACGATCCTGAGGTTCCTAGTCAGATGCGCTTCCACCTTACCTTAGGGAAATTCTCTCTAGCTCCAAGCTAGAAGGCGACCGTAATCATATGTATAATTTAAATCTGCCACACTAGTCCCCACTTTTTAGATTTGTTCACCCTCGAATACCACAACCCAGGTTCTAATTCCCTGTCACCGCAGGAAGGGCCACGGACACCATTAACAGGAAAGAGAGTAGTGTGATTCCACTGGGGATTGAATCCTCGATCTCCAGGTTCCTAGTCGGACGCTCTATCACTGAGCTAAAGAGAAAATCTCGAGGCTAGAAGGCAACCGTAATAATAAGTACAATTATTAAATTAAAATCTGCCACACTATTATAGGTGAAGTGACAGACAAGGTTAGTACCCGTGATTAGACAGGTATAACAGAAAATAGCACATGATTTTAGACGGGTTTCATTGTCTGCATAAATATGCAAAATAAGGTGTCGATTTAGCCAAGTTTCTCTGTAATATTATGTTTAATGAAGAACATTTACTATCCTCTTGTTCTCTATCAAACCATTGTTGCTGCTGTGGCTGAAATGCAACCTTTAAGTTATGGATGTATTTATTTTAAATTTATTCTAAACTGTATATTAACGATTTTTAATTAGAATGTTCATTGTTTTCACGTATTCGACCAGCAGTCTACCTGTCAACAGGCGAATGAGAAATCGGGGAAAAGAAGATGGTTCTTTCTCGTGGTGCGCCGGTGTTCGTGTTTATGTTGGAAAGCGGATGTCGGATGTCGTATTAAACTTTTCTTTACTTTCTCAAATTATATTGCACAAATTTAAGAACGGAATTTCTATTTAGAAAATGATATCAGAAACTGAATAGAAACAAGTCGGTGATTTTTTTTTTCTCCCATCGTTACAGTAATGTCGTAACTACATGTTGAACCTATTTATGGCAAATTGGTCACCACATTGCTAGCTTACTACCCTACTAATGTCATTTTCCGTTAACTTGCATCATTATGTGAATGTCATTCGTTGGTTATGTTGATGGTTTATGCGATTTTCAAGTAACATGTTCAAGTCAGCGCACATGTCCATTCGGAGGACTGTCCGACAGTTTTGTCGACAGCAAATATGCCAAAGACATGCACTCAAAGTCAAAGAGTTTGTCAGGGCGCGTCCATGGATTTGGACGTCACGTAAGACAGCAGCACAAGGCACATACGCACAGGGATACCAGGAATTTGCGCATGGTAATGGTATGCATTTAATTTAGTCTACCGGGCTACATACTCACGGGGAGGTTGCTATCGGGTGGTGGGGGAGTAGCTGTTTTGTTGTAGCAGCTAACGGGTTGTTTCGCCCCAAATCCCGTTCGCTCTAAGCCTAAGGGTTGTTTCGCCCCAAATCCCGTTCGCTCTAAGCCTAAGGGTTGTTTCGCCCCAAATCCCGTTCGCCCCACGTTGTTTCGCCCTAAAAAATATTTTTTCTTTAAGTCATATATATCATGTTAAAAGTTAAAAAAACTTATCTTTCTCTTTCCATTTCATTACCTTAATTAAGTAATGTTGAGACACATGAGATACCATGCTGTCTGCGTCTAACCAGAGTTGCACGAAATGCAAAAATCATCCATAACGTAATGTTGAATTATAACACAGTATTGAGAAATGCCCTATTTATGACAAGTTATCTACTCAAAATTATCTACTCAAATATGCAAATTAATTTTTATTGGTCGGTACTATCAAAACTTATCAAAACGATCTCCTCCAATGAACAAAAAACAACACTGACATGCGCCGAAATCAAGTAAAAAAAACATCGTCACACGGCGACAATTATGTTTACACTAGACTAAATGTGTTAACATGGGAAAATAATATTGTTGTATACCCCGCAATGTAATTAAAATTACACCATTTTTGTTTCATTTCACTATTCTTATTTATTTCTAAAATTCAATTCAATATATGTTATGTGTGTTGGCGTGAAGAATATAACGAAATCCGTTTTTTGCTTTACAATGTACTTAAAAACAACACAAACAATTTTTTTTTTTAATAAAACTGATTTTTATGATATGAAAGACTAAGAAGACTTAATGTGTGACTTAAAACAAATAAAAATGAAAAGAAAATACCAAACAATGTTTCGCCCTAAAAAAAATGTTTTGGGGCGAAACAACCTGGCGTGAAACAACCTAGGGTGAACAGGATTTGGGGCGAAACAACCCAGTACCGTAAGGATAAACCAATTGATCTGTCTGGTTACAGACAATCGACCCAGTCCAGTTCCGCTACAATATAAGCTTAGACTCGATATATTGAAAAGTTGTAGGAACCTCATCGATTATATTTTAAAAATCGTTTTGAATGGCATCTACACCAATGTATTTAAAGTTGTCCAATTTTGTTAGGAACTCTTGATGTTTTGGTTACACAGTTGTTTCGATACTTAAAGTAGGATGTTTCGGTACTTTTTATACGCCCGGTAAATTTGACGGAAGTATTATGGTATTGGGTTTACCGTCCATCCGGCGTAAACTTTTGTTTGTCCGGTAATCTCCTACATTTTCGACTGATCTCTTTGAAACTTGGTATACATTATAATCATGATATGGTCCTACACATTACCACCAAGAGGTCACCTACAAGACAATCCTATAACATCCATGGGCATGTATTGGAGGAGGTAGAGAGTGCCAAGTACTTAGGAGTCACCATACCTCAGAAACTCAGCTGGAATACTCACATCAATAACGTAGTGAAGAAAACCAACAACACCAGAGCTTTTCTTCAAAGAAATATAACCAAGTGCCCATCGACAACCAAAGACCTTTGTTACTAGGTATTAGAAAGACCACAGATGGAATACGCCAGCAGCATTTGGGATCCACATATTACCAACAATATACACAATATGGAGATGGTGCCGAGGTTTCGTCACTGGAAATTACCAACAGACCAGCAGCGTGAGCAGCATGTTACAACAGCTACAGAGGCCCATCCTCCAAGAGAGAAGATCAGTCAGCAAGGTCACCATGATGTATCGCATTATGAATGGATTAGTGGCAATACCATCGATTCCTCATACCATTCACTAGGACACTTATTAACAATATTCATTTTTTCCAGACACCATCAGGCTGTTGAACACTTTACCATCAGCAGTAGTAGACAGCCCCTCTCTTGATATCTTGACCACCACCAACCTACGATAGTGCACCATAATGCTTTTAAGTTTTTAAGGGTCCCCGTCCCTCGGCCTAAATGTAATGAGGCATTTTTTTTCTTTTCTACGGCGTCACTATTGCATAAGCAAATTATTTCTGAACAATAACCCATGCCTTGCAGGATTTTCTTCAGATTATTTGGGAAATTAAAGTTAGATTTGAAATTGTTTCGATTTTTCCCGGAACAAATTTCGAGCATGGACAAATACAGTGAACACCGTAAATCTGACCATGCCCTTCACAAGGGAGTTATTTTTGGAAGTTAATTCATACTTTTCTCTTTGCTCATTTTGTGAAGAATCCAGGCGTGAATTTATTTGTTGATTGTATGGGAACCTGACAATAGTCGGTAGATTCAATACAGCCTCGTTATTTGTCATGTCATCAGAAACTGAGGAACCATGGATGCGAGACATGTGAAACTGATAGCGTTTGAAGTGAGTGATCTTGCGACGGAGCACAAGTTCGTTACAAATGTCTGAAATTTTTTATGTGTGCTTTGACTCATATGAGTAGGTCTGTAACATATGTGTCAGTAGGTCTATAGAATATGTGTATTTCAGACATTTGACTGTAACAAACCCTGTTGATCAGTGCAGTGTAACGGACGATATTTCTGATAAATTGCATGAGCGTAAAATTATTTCCATTGCCGGCATTGGTGATTTCAAACGATGTGCATTTTTCACAAAATTGCAGACCTCAAGTGGTCTTGTTTTCGTTGTAATAAAAGTGTTTTTTTATATTTTTTTTATTTTGCACCTAAATTTACAAGGACATTGTCAAATCTCATAATGCCCAGCGATATTTCAGCAGCCGTCATGTTTATTTATATTGGATATTGTAGTTCCGGTCAGTGTTGTAATAATACACTAAAAATTGTGTCTCGTGATGCATGGTAATTAAAGTCCCATCAACGACACAACTTCAAAGAGGCTATATAGTGACAATGCCATGCAAATGTAAATATATATAATTTGATGCAACAATTGTTTATTAGAAATATAACACATAAAATATAATAACAATCTGAATATTGATGAACAAAACAACAAAAAACAGAGTAATTTTCTAACAATAATACTAAAACAAACAAAAATCCCCATTACACGAATCAATAAAATTCCGGGTGCCAATGCAACATGTTTAGGACAACGAAAAGAAAATATAGTGACAAAAAATAAATATCTTGCGGACTTACGTATTCTACAAACAAATTATAAAGATACAAAAAAACTAAACAAAAAAGAGAGACAACTCTTACATTTGTACCAATAATAAACAATTAACAACATACAATATATGTACATTATAGCACTTTTTATATAAAAATATAATACAGTAGGCATTACCAACCAATAAAATTACTTCAAATGTAATAACCAATATAAAACAAATTGCACATTGTGTATAAAAAACATTATAACAAACATTATGAACAAAACAATAGTTAACTTTCACGTTATGTACAGATAACAACATACCATATTGTGCTATAAAAAATATCGCACTATAAAGCAATAATTCACTTTGTCATTACATAAGGATAACAACATATATATATTGTGGTCTAACAAATATCACACTATACAACAATGATAAACTTTTACATTATGTACAAATAACAACATTGTGGTATAAAAATATCACATTTTAAAAATAACACTGTTGTATGTAATATAAAAAAAATGAACTTGAAATATAGGCCTATTGGGCATATAATAACAAATATAAAATATAATCCGGACTACTGTGATGTCTTGTGATACACTTACTTGTATGTATAAAATACTTTCCAGGCCAAAATGTCTTTCCTGTTGGGTTATTGCACAACCGTTTAGCCTAGTACCGCATTCCTTACAACCTTTCTGGTCAAGGTATTCAGACTACCCTGCGACCAGGTTAAAAAGTTATTGGCGTATTCGTGATCACTAGTACTACAGGGATCCTCATCGGACGTCGCTGTCAGCTCATCAGTCAAGTTGTCAGTAGTAGGGGCCTCAAGTTTTCAGTGTCTCTTCATTGTGTGAACGAGTGTCACTTTGTTTCGTCACATAGTCGTGGTCTAGCAGTTGATATTGGACATCCTTGTTGTTATTTTTGTCTGTTAATGCGTTTAGTTTACATTTAAAACGGCCATTTTTACGTCAGGCTTGCATGTCGGCCATGACTGCCATGACGTTGTTTACATCGTTTCGACAGCTTTTTTGCCCACACTTTCGCAATGGAGATTTTCAACGCAAGGGACACAACTCTGTATTCGAAACGTTATTCAAACGAAATCTATTCGAGGGTAGATAACAACATTGTCGAAATGGTAATCAGGGGAAGGTGACTCTAACACTGGAAAACGACAGTGGAATTCTTTATTGTTTTGCTCTGCCGGGGACGGGGATCCTTACCTGTATGAACCGTAAATTTGCGGGTATAGTCCGCAGGTTTATTTTGGGGTCAGATGTGAAGAAAAAAACTAGAAAATAAAAATGATTTTGGAAAAAAATCCTAAAAATAAACGGTATCAAACAGGAAAAATTAGCATCAGTAGCTTGGTGTTTATAACGCCGATTAATTAACGATTGATTGATTGGAGTCAACAAGCCCATGAAGGTCTCCCTGCGTTCCGCTTGGAATGAGTTGATGATGGACGAATCCTGCAGAAACCAAACGAAGAAAGTGTAGCTATGTAATGGATTTTAAATGCACCTGTGAAAAGTTGAATTGCTCACATCACACAAAGTCCAAGAATACACTTAAGTGGTATGGACTGTACCTTGACGGATTTCTTTGAAACTTAGTAGGCTAAATAACCATGATATGCTGTTGTTTCCTTGAAAAGAATTTTGATTCAACAATTTTTCCGAAAGTTATTGCCCTTGGTTTAATTCAGTATTTGATTTTTGTCCAGCAATCTCCTCCTACATTTTTCAACGGATCTCTTTGAAACTTGGTATACATTATAATCATGATATGAAGTTGTGTCTCCCTTAAAATGTAAGAAAGTATATAACACTGTATGGCATTCGACAGGCATATATAGTTCTGCCCCGCGGTACTCTTGTTGTAAAGTAAGAAAAATGCTGAAATTAGTTACACAAGGAATATAAAAAGTAAACAAAGCACTAAGTTGAAAATTAAGTTAAAGTGCTGAAAACAGTATAAAATTCCTGAATCAACCTTTTGGAAATATTGAAACATCTTGAACAGGTACCAAAATGACAGAGTACTGAAATATTTGTTCCTCCCTAAATAACAGTGAAAACACTTACTATACTGGTCATGGCCATGTATATTGAAACTGCACCAACTATACTGGTCATGGCCATGCATATTGAAACTGCACTGGCACAAATTTGTCTTTGTTTCCAATCTTGTTTGTTTTCAATAATTGAATAATTAGCACATGCTATGTTCCAAAACTTAAAATCTACTGCAACAGACTTACAAAAGTTACCATGAAAATTCATGGAATCTTTTGTCCTAGATTGCAGAGCAGACTATAAATGAAAAATATTTTGTAAAGTTCTGTAAAACCTTGAAAAGATAGTAGCAGTTGACTACTACTGTTCATTATCACTTTGGTGAATAGTAATTATACATAGGGAGGATGGCATACTTATATTATGTCTCACGATAAACACAGTTATGGCCTATTGTTCATTATTAGCTCACTTGGTCCAAAGGACCAAGGTGAGCTTATGCCATACCGTGGCGTCAGTCGTCCATCCGTCCGTCGTCCGGCGTCCGTGTGTCAACAATTTCTTTTAAACGACTTCTCCTTCTTAACCACTGATTGGAATTTAACTAAACTTGACTGGAAGCATCCCTAGGTGATGGGGATTCAAAATTGTACAAATGGTGGGGCTGACCCCACAGGGGACTGAGGGGTGGGCAAAAAAGGGTTATTTGTCTATATTGCATTAAGCGACTTCTTCTCTGGAACTAAGTGATGGATATCAACCATATTAGACTGGAAGCATCCCTAGGTTGTGGAGATTCAAAATTGTACAAATGGTTGGGCTGAAATAAAGCCAAATTACCCCTTTACAGCCCCGTCCCTCAGTCCTCTGGGGGGGTCAGCCCCACCATTTGTACAATTTTGAATACCCAACACCTAGGGATGCTTCCAGTCTAATATGGTTGATATCCATCACTTAGTTCCAGAGAAGAAGTCGCTTAATGCAATATAGACAAATAACCCTTTTTTGCCCACCCCTCAGTCCCCTGGGGGGTCAGCCCCACCATTTGTACAATTTTGAATCCCCAGGGGGCTGAGGGGTGGGGCCAAAAAGGGGTAATTTGGCTATATTTCTACAAACGATTTCTTCTGCAGAACTATGCACTGGATATCGATCATATTTAATCAAAAGTATTCATTGGATTCAGGGATTCAAAATTGTACAAATGGTGGGGTTGACCCCCCAGGGGACTGAGGGGTGGGGCCAAAAAGGGTTATTTGTCTATATTGCTTTAAGCGACTTCTTCTCTGAAACTAAGTGATGGATATCAACTATATTAGACTGGAAGCATCACTAGGTGGTGGGGATTCAAAATTGTACAAATGGTGGGGCTGACCCCCCCAGAGGACTGAGGGGCGGGGCCGAAAAGAGGTAATTTGGCTTTATTTCTACAAACGACTTCTTCTGTAGAACTATGGGCTTGATATCAATCATATTTAATCAAAAGTATATATGGGATGCAGGGATTCAAAATTGTACAAATGGTGGGGCTGACCCCCAAGGCTAAGGGGTGGGGCCAAAAAAAGTTTATTGCCTGGAAATGGTTGAGATCCCCACCATATAACCACATATACAATTGCTGAGTATAAAGAGAAGAATGCACATTTGCTTCCGGGATGACCCTAGGGTCTGGCCCCACCCTTGGAAACATAGTCCTTGGGCCATAACTTAAAAACGGTTGAGATCCCCACCCCAAAACTATATATACAAATGCTGGGCATAAAGAGACGAATGCAGTCATGATATTAGAATAGAACCTGGGGTCTGACCGAACCCCTAGGGACCTAGTTTCTTAGTCACAGCTTGGAAACAGTTGAGATCCCCGACCTATAACCATATAGACAATTGCTGAGTATAAAGAGATGAATGCACATATGCTTCCAGGATGGCCTTGGGGACTGCCCCACCCTTGGAGACTTAACCCCTGGGTCATAACTTTGAAATGGTTAAGATCCCCACCCCAAAACTATATATACAATTGTTGGGCATAAAGAGACAAATGCAGTCATGATATTAGAATTGACCCCAGGGTTTGCCCCACCCTTGCAGACTTAACCCCTGGGTCATAACTTTGAAACGGTTGAGATCCCCACCCCAAAACTATATATACAAATGCTGGGCAAAAAGAGACAAATGCAGTCATGATATTAGAATTGATCCTGGGGTCTGGCCACAACCCTAGGGACCTAGTTTCTGAGTCACAGCTTGGAAACAGTTGAGATCCCCACCCCATAACCATACATAAAATTGCTGGGCATGAAAAATCGAATACAGATATATATGCTACAAGGATTGGCCTTGGGGTCTGGCATATTCCCATGGATCTCATTTGGAGAATATTCTGCCATGATTGCTTAGATATCCAGGTGAGCGATACAGGCCCTATGGGCCTCTTGTTGGTATTAACGTTTGTCTGAAAGGTGGCGACTAAGCATTGATTGCAAACTTGTTGAATATGATATCGGAAATTAAACTTTGCAAAACATTATCAGATTGAGACCAATGTGCATAAATTAATTTGGTCATTGTTCTGAAAATATTTTGCTAATAATTCATTGTACAGTGTGATAAAGACTTTAAGCAAAAGCAGGTAAATGAAGGAGCATCAATTCCGTCTTTTGTATTGCAGAGTTATCTGCTCTTGTGAGCAGGTATTGATTATTACGTCATTTATTTTGTTTGTGAGAGTAACATCATAACTTTTTGAGAAAACGACGTAACTTTCTCACACAAACTAATGACGTAACAATCAATACCTTCTTGCAAGAGCAGATAACTCTGCAATACGAAAAGACGGAATACCCAATCTTGAGCTACTGCAGCAGCATTAGAATTTCAAATTTATATACAATAAACAATGGGGCTATATACAGAATTCTTATAGACTTATTTAAATTTTCGTAGACCAGCAGACTTTGACTATAAAAAAACACTTATATATTTAGTGATTGATATCATGAAATTAAGATACTACGTCTTATAATAATTAAGTAATTTTACAGAAAACTATTCCCTCACCATAACACTTGTCAAGGAATCATACACATCATGGTAAATAACAATCTGATTAAAATCATATGTTATATGGCTTCATTAACTACGCACTACGCCTGAACATCGTTCAGGCGCAGCCATGTAACAGATGATTTTAATCAGATTGGGTAAATAACATCCCAGACAACTTGGTCTTTGAAGCTAGGATTCCAACAGACCTACAATCTTTTTCATGGAGATTGTCAATTGGTCTACCGTTAAGTTTGACCACTGCTGCAGACTTCTATTTACATGTATCGCATGATTTTTCCTTGCCCAACCATCATTAGAACCAGTATTAACTGCAGTGATACCAATCATTCATTCTGATTCACAAAAGTTTTACAATTTCTTTTTCAGACAGGACAATTCCAGTTTTGGTGAACAAACAAATTCATCCATCAGATTGGGTCGGCAAACAACCATTAATATATCCCAAAAGTATACCTTTGTTTGGTTCCCGAGGTAATGTGAACTATGTACAATTTAATCACTACCATAATAATGTCATCTCCAGACAGTTTAGTGTTCGGACGAGACAGCAGCAAAAGTCATCAGAAGAAATTCAGAAACCACCTGAAGGAGAAGGACAAAATGTTGAAAAGCCTGCAGAACAACTGACTTTGATACAGAGATTTAAGAAAACTTATAAGGAACACGGAAAAGTTCTTGTAGCAGTGCATGTGTTGACGTCATGTGTGTGGTTTGGATCTTTCTACGCTGTTGTAGACAGGTAAATACTTCTCAATAGTCCATACGGTTTGTTGATTCTAATTGTTAATCCTTGATCTCAGGTTCACTGATACAGCTAATGGACCCCCTACTCCTGGTTTATGTCTAACAATGACCATGTCAACCTTGCAACGATTATTTTATTTTAAATACATATACCTTAAATGAGATTTCTGATGAAAGTCATATGGCATTGGAAGAAGTTTCAGGTCCTGTTCAATATGATCAAAGCATACATGATAATATTTATTGCAAGGATTTAAGCTGAAAAAATCTTATTGTGTTTTGTTGTGCTTCTAAATCTCATTCTAAAAGGCTCTTTAGCGGAACAGTATCAAATATTCTGAGGGTTAGGACAGGTCTACTTTAAAATGAAGGGGTCTCAGGTTTTACCTTACCTCAGAGTGTGCAGTCAATATGCATAGCTACAACCATATGTGGTACATTTATCTCTTCTGCAATCAAATGATTGAAAAAATGATGACAATTGTGCTAACTTTTAATAATTCATTTTCATTTTGCAGTGGAGTGGATATTGTGGCAATGCTTGAATGGATGGGCTTTAGTGAAACAATTACAAACCCGTTTAAGTCATCAAGTATGGGAAACGTGGCACTTGCCTACCTTATGTATAAGTTGGCGACCCCGGCCAGGTACACTGTGACCATTGGCGGCACAAACATGGCCATCAAACACTTGATGAATAAGGAGAAAATGTCTAAAACAAAAAAGGAGGACAAGATCAGGAGCTTATTTAAGGAAGGGGTGAAAGATGTCAAAGATCAGAGTACTAGGAAGTTCAAACAATACAGGTTTAAAGCACGGGCAAAAAGGAACGCTGCTAAAGCTCAGAGCACAAAGAAGGTCAAAGCAGTTGGAAAGAGAGTGTTTTCAAGAATCAAATGGAGGCGAGACAAAATTATGCTTAAATTGAAAACTTCTCGATTAAACAGGAAAGGTTCCAAAAAGGAAAATGGAAACAGTGATAATGAGGCTTAGATGGAAAACATCTTGATTACTGGTAAACAGGAAAGATTCCAGGGATAAATGGGAACAGTGGTAGTTAGACTTAAAAGAAAAACATCTCGATTTATATCAAGTAAACAGTGAAGGTTCCAGGGGGATAAATGGAAACCTTGCTGATAGAGAGTTTAACTTGTATCCAACCATCTGTAATCATATTTACAAAACAGGTTTTAAGATTTAAGAAATATAGTGTAGTTTTGTTGATATGATCATTGTGTTTGTTTTTTCTCATCTTGTACAAAGGGTCAAAGTGAGCTGATGGTGCAGTTTTACAACAAGTGATTTCTAAGTTGTTCATCCTTCAGCATAATTTTATGATAATTTATTACGGATACACATAAAACAAATGATAAAAAATACTGTAAGTGTACATATGTTACCAGTTATCTTATTTTTGTGCTAATACCTGCCCAAAATAAAAATTATTTCAAACATTATTTATTTTAAAACATTTATGAAGCAAATTTTATCACCTTATTTTAGTTTGTCAGTAAAAGCTTTCATTTTGCTCTGTGCTCCTTATCATGTCAACATTACATTTTGAGTTTTCCAAGTTTTTGAAAATTTACTGAAAGTCATCAATTATTACATTTCTCACAATAATGAAGGCCTGTCAAGTATGCAGTGAAATTGTTGTAATGTGTAGTGTAATGTGTCAAGTCCATGCCAGAGTGCTAAGCTTTGTTTGCATTGCAATCAATTAAATACACTTACAGCAAATTAGCATATATACATGTGTATATAGATTTGATGTAATTTTTATGAAGGTATCTTATTTTATTTAAGGATTGGCTTTCTCTTTTGTTAGTTATCTGTTGATAACTATTCTGTTATGAATTATTCCTGTTTGAACTACAGTTAAACCTGCCTGAGAGACCATCTCCAAAAAGACACCAACTGAAAAAAGGGAGACCACTCTATGAACTTTCCAGAGGTGGTCTCTAATCAGAGGTTTGACTGTAATTCCTTACTAGGTCTCTTGGGGTTTGTTGTAAACATTAAAATCTACTGCTGAATTACAGAATTATAAAGAATTTTAATTTAAAATTATTGAATTTTTACTATGATTACAACTAACGGATGTATTTAATTTTGTGATATTTTATTGTGATCAAATTGGGAAGTTTGCTTGTACAAAAGATTTGGACAGGTGAGCTGATGAAATGTTGCCTGTCTGTTGTCTGTCCCTCTCGGAGGGCAAGGCTCAATAGAGGAATGGAAGGTAAATATGATTTATTCCTTCAGAACATGTGAAGGAATTTTAATTGAAGTTGGTTTAGAGCATTTTTGTCTTTGATTCCTGAGGCCTGAGAGGTGGGGCCCCAATACAGGAACTATGGGGTACAACTATAGTTCTATCGATTAACATCCTCAACTAATAACAACATACCTACACACAAAATGTGCATGAAGAAACGAATACATCCATGCTACCAGGATTAGCCTTGGATCCAGCCTCATCCTAGGGGACTATGTCACGAGGTAACAACATATAGACAGTTGGGAACCCCACACTTTAACTACATATTTACAATTGCTAGGCTTGCACATAAAGAGGCAAACACACTCATTCTACTAGAATTATCCAAGGTGTCTGACCCACATTTGGGCAATAAGTCCCTGACTCATACCATGGAAACATTTCAGATCCAGACCCTACAACCACTTGTACAATATGCTAGACATGAAGAGATAAATGCATGCATTTTCCAGGAATGGAACAGGAGTCTGTCTTGTCCTCTTAAAGTCCAAGAGTCCTGATATGGAAAAATGAACTTGCTGGGCCATAAGAGATGAATATACTCTTGCTACCATGAATGCTCTAGGGTCCTATTGGTCCCTTGAGGTTTGATGCTTGGGTTATAATTTGCAATTAGTTTGAGATCCCCATTTCAACACTAGATCACTCTCGTAGCATGATTACACTACCAGGATAAGCCCAGTCTAGCCCCACCCTTGGGGAGTTAGTCTTAGGATCATTACATGAGAATGATGGCAGTTCCGACAGCACCTGGTAACCATATGTATGGATTTAAACCACATTGCAAAATATCTAAGGGATCTGAAAGTCAACTGTTGAAAGAAACATTCAGAAAAAAAGGAAACCGATGATGGATACAGACTGTATAGGCAATTCTTGATGCAGTATATAAATATTTAAAATTCATTTATTTAATCAATGCAAAAGTTGAGCAATTGTTGTGAACCTACGTGTATTTATAGAATGGAACTAATTCGTGAAAATCTGTGTATCAATATGATTAATTGGTTTTGATTGCATATCTGTTGTAAACGAATAAAGTGTGTACATGTAATAAATGTATTATTCATATAAATCACTTCAAGTTTGTGTGTTGAATACAACCAAGCCATGAACACACCCGATTGGTGAGTGACAGGCTTGGATCTCTTTCCTCTTGTACTCGCTTATATTTTGAAATATATCGGATATCAATGGGATTGCCTTATATATGGTACTGCTGCAATGTTCTTTAGGTATCTTTAATTCCCGATAAAGAGAAAAGCCTGATAATAATGATTACCTGTTAGGGTCTATGTATTGGGTCACTATAGCTGCCCTGTTTGTAATTTGATAAAAAATATTACAATAATTTGTTGTTGAAAAAAATATTTACAGTATACACTGATGTTCACTCATGCATTGAACCAGCAAAATGGAGATATCATCTCATAATTTTACCAGAAAACACGACAAGTTTCATTTGTTTTTGTGAGTTGCCTGGTTTGCTAGTTTCGGAGTAATAGCAGGTTGTTATATATATTACTATGGTCGATGGTTACTCAGCGGTCTGATATATAAAAAATAGTCGTACTAGAACCTATTTATCAAATTCATTTGTGGTGCTTTATACTTTCATCACGTAATAAGTCGGCTTTAGGAGAAGCTCTTTTAGGCTGCGTTGATTCCAAGTATATCTTCTGTTTACGAATATTTTCTATTTTTATTTTGTTAATTAAAACTTTATACAGGGGGTCTGTATATTATATCAACTATACATCCTCAAAGTCAGTATTAAGTTGTACCAAATTTCCGAGTGCAAGGTGGAAAAATGAGAAAATCATCATATAGGCATTGGGTATGTTGTTTATGGAAAATGATGCGTTGTTACTTTTCCGTCAACGTGTCGTCAGAGAATGTTTCAAGTCCCTCATCGGTTCCCAGGAGGACTATTAAAGGTTTGTACCTCTCCGTCAAAAGAGTTTGTCCGGGGCATATATTCTATTCTTCTTCACCAAGCGTAACCAGATATGGTATGTAAGTACATCTTGGGATGGTGGAGCGCAAAATACAAAAGGAAGGTCACTATGACGCATCCTTTGACCGTTGACTTCAATATTTGTAAAAGTTGGTCTAGGTCTAATTTTTAGCTCACCTGGCACGAAGTGCCAAGTGAGCTTATGCCGTGGCGCGGCGTCCGTCGTCTGTCCGTCTGTCCGTCCGTCCTCGTCCGTCAACTTTTCCTTTAAACAACTTCTTCTGAAGAACGGACAGGCCTAGAGTCATGATATTTGGCTGAAAGCTTCGTTGGTAGGAGCCCTACAAAGTTTGAGAACGAAAATGACCTTGACCTGTTTTCAAGGTCACAGGGGTCAAATATGTCA